CTCTCTCTCTCTCTCTCTCTCGGAAAACATGCATGCGGTCGACACCGCTTTGCGCATCGCAGCTTGTGAACCCTTATTGTCTGTAGTTTCATGGATGCGGGACATCGCGGGACGCTGCTCAACACAACCGACTGCCCACAGAGTTAGCCTACTTCAGGCTCCAGCATGGGCGCAGCCACTCGTGGTCGGCCAGCGGTACTCTCGGTCGGTGGTGCAAATGCCTTCTGAATTTGGCGGTGTCATCTTACGTAGAACATGGCGCTGACATGAGTTGCGGCCGGCGGTGCACGCAGACATGTTCAGGAGCAGATGGTGGGTTTGTAAGCGCGGCCGGGTAATGCGCATCTGGTTTGCTTGTCAGGCCCAGCATCGCAAACAGTGGAGAGCATCCTGCGGCGATTTTCTAAACATGCAGCGCACAGAGGCAGTCTCAGACACCAAGACTGACATTGCTCTCAGTAGATTCGGCGTAAGCACGTGGAAGTGCCATCTGCAGAAGTGGAGAAGGCAGCGAAGTGTTGTTGTGCTGGCTCGGTCGGACCGGAAGTTGAAACATTCACACGTAAACCAAAAACACCACAAGCTGGGCCTCGGCGACTCGCTCGGCATCTTCTCATCTGTTCCCAAACGTTCCGCACTCGACTCGAGTCGACCACTCGAGAGGGCACTGCAAACCTGTTTGCTGTGCTTTCTGTGAGCCCAGGGGCGGCAGTTCTGTCTGCACCTCGATCTGCTTCCGTGCTTTGGACAGCTTCTGCGAGCAGTGGGCCTTGTGGCCGTCAGAGCTTCTACAAGCTGTAGCTGCAGTTGACGCACTCGTTCCTTGAGGCGTTCAGCGGATTTCGGGACCGAATGAGGTGCAGATCTTCTGAATGAGACTTGCGCAGAGCGACAGGAGTACGTGCATAGGCAGTTTAGCTTCTCGGGCCACCGTGCACAACATCAAGCTCTGAAGGGATAAAGACACAGCCTGGAGACGAAGATGTCTCGTGCACCCTTTGACATCTGTTTGCGTTGCAAGTAGAGGTTTATGGCTTGGAATGAGCAATGAACAGTTGAAGATGGTAGCAGCTCATTCCAGGTGCACGCTCGGCGTGAATGTCCGCGAAAAGAACCGCTCTCGGTTAGTTCTCAAGGCCAGACGTAGCACGGCCGGGCTTTGATGTGGCCGTTGCTGTTTCTGCATTCGGAGGGGCGCAAGCCTCAAACCTAAACGAGAAAAGCCCTGAAGCCTGAAGACGCATTAAAGAACATTATTGAGAAAGCTAGCACTGTTTCCGGTGAGTCTTGACGGTGATCCGAACTGCTGTGTGCCGACGCCTTTTCTGAAGCGCTTGATCCAGACTTGCTACTGGCAGGCAAAAGGTGTGAGCCTGTAGTGCCCTGTGAGCCAGGGTTGCTTAGTGGCACCGGAGCCTGAGCAATCTTTCCTGTGGGCCTTGCTGCGCTGCCCCTGCCGACTTCGCTTTCTTTTACCACTTCGAGGGGCCAGTGCTACAGCTGTGTGGTCTCGGGGGGTGGCCTTCTCTAAGGCGAGTTCGCTGGTACAGTCTGCGGCGAAAGCTCCCGCAGGCGGCTGTACCCTGGTTTCTGCTGCTGTGCTTCGGCACCTTCTTCAAGCGGGCCTTTTGGAACTTGCGCCTGCAGGCACCCCGGACGGGTGGCTGTGGCCTCCCTTCTTCTTCTTCGAGTTCTTCCTCTTTGGCTTCCCGTGGCTGCCCGGACCGCTCCGGCTCTGTTGGCCCTTCTTCGGAAGCCCCTTCTCTTGTGGCACTTCAAGGCGGCTGTCTGGATTGGTCCGGCTTCTTTGGCTGCCTTTGTGAAAGTTACCTTTTGGGCAGAGCTAGCTGCCCCGAGCCGAACACCGAGCACAAGTTTTTTCTTTCCTTTTGGCGGCAGCTAGGCCGCCCGGGCGAAGCAAGGAGCGATGGCCGAGGATGACAAGACGACCTCGGCCTGGCACAAGGTGCCCACCTGGGACGGAAGCCCGGTTACATGGCGGGCCTTTAGCAAGGAGATGCAATGGTGGGTTTCTTCCTTGGACCTGGAAAGCACGAAGAAGTATAACCTGGCGGCTCGTTGGCTACTTCGCCAAACTGGCGTGGTGCGCCAGAGAGGGGAGGAATTTTCTCCTTCCGATCTCGAATACCAGCGTGAAGTTCGGACAAGGGACACTGAGGGTGTGGAGATCGTCGTGACGCCCGAGGATCCACTGGCAGGTTTGAATAAGCTCCTCAAAGCGCTTGAGGGGATAAATGGCAAAAGCGCGCTTGACAAGAAAGGAGAACTTCGCAAGCTCTTTTACATGGAGCTCAGCCGCAAGCCGGGGGATAGGCCAGCCGATTTTATGTCAAGGTTTCGCTTCCTTGCGGCCGAGTTGAAGGCGGAGGGGATATCCCTTCCGAGCTCTGAGTTAGGATGGTTTTTGCGGGAAAAGCTTGGCCTGGATGCGCTGCGCAAACAACTGCTTGAAACAGCCTTGCAAGGTCGCGAGAATTTCGAAGATGTCGAAGCTGAGGCCCTGAGGCTCTTTAAAGATTTACATGTGGCAGATCCGCTCATGAAGCGGACCTTTGGACCCGACCTTCGCCATCGTGGTCGCGGCTTTGGCGGCTCCCCTCCTTCCTCGACGGCTTCTTCGAGTTACCGGGGTTCGGGGGCGAGTTCGTTTTCAGGGCGTTCTTCAAGCAGCGGCGCCTCTGTGAAGGGCGGCGGCAAGTCTGGCTCTTTTGGGCCCTGGCGGCCTTTCATGGGCTTTCGTTCGAGGCAGGCCTTTGCTACCGAGCAGCATGGCGAGATTGAGGGCGTGCCGGGCGAGGAGGCAGACGAGGAAGAGATGATCCCGGAGGACGGCGGGGACGCGCTGACCCTGGACGAGGTGCTGGAAGCCGAGGCGGAAGCTCTTGCCGCAGAGCTTGAACAGGCGGAGGCCGAAGGGCTCGAACCGCAGATGCTTGAGGACGTCGAAGGCACGGTGGAGTCTGCCGCCGAGGCTTTGCTGACGATGCGGGAGGCGCGCCACAAGTTGCAGGAGGTGCGCAAGGACCGTGGTTTCGGCAAGGCTGTCTCGGCACCTTCGTCACCGACCTCTGGGAAGCCTGGTTTCAAGAAGCGCGGCGTCTGTCATGATTGCGGGCAGTCGGGACACTGGGCCGGGGACCAGCAGTGCTTGAAGCCGGGGGCCGGTCTGGCGAGACCAAAGTCGGCCGTTCGGCCTGGAGCTGCATCGGCGGGTGGCTCGCCCCATGGGTGGGTACAGCTGGCCGAGACCTTTTGGACCGAGGCCTTTGCGGAGCAAGGGGAGGAGCCAGCGCCGCATGAGACGGCGGTGGTCTCGTCTTGGAGTTCCTTTGCCGAGGCGCTTGAAGCGAGCCGGCCGCACGAAGTGCAGAGCGCTCTGTCTGATGACAAAAGGCTTGTGGGAGCGCTAGACAGCGCCTGCAACCGCACTGTTTGTGGGCGCGGGTGGCTGGAGGGCTATTTGGAAGCACTTTCTAGCTCTCCTCTGGCACGGCCTTGGTCCCCCTGGTCAAGACCGAGCAGGAGCGCGAGAACTTTAAGTTCGGGAACGATGGCGTGAAGGCAAGCCACTCGCGCCACAGACTTCCGGTGGTTGTTGGAGCATCCTGCGTGCTTGTGTGGACTAGTGTTGTCGAGGTGGAGTCGCTCGGGCTTTTGCTGGGGCGAGATTTCCTTGAGGCCATCGGTGGTGTGATCAGTTTTACCCGGAGGGCTTTGCGAGCTGACCACCTTGATGCCAAGCGAATTCCCTTGCGGCAAACTCTCGGCAGGTCACTTCTTCCTCGAGATCTTCCCTGGCACCTGGAGCTCTACTCGAGGCCCTGGCGTCGTGAAGGCCAGGATGGGGCTCTGGAAGTGCAACTTAGTTCTGCTGAGTGGAGCCTTCGTCGTGCAGCTGCGGTCAAGAGTGTTGGTGCAAGTGAGCGTGTACATGAGCCACTGGTTGTTGAGCCAGCTCTTTCTGTGCGTGGTGGAGAGCGTGGTTCGAGAGTTGTAAATTCGATGTCTGGGCCTCGTGTTCGGGCCCTGGGACCTGAGTGCCGTGATGATGGTCGTGCAGCCAAGCAGGGACGAAAGAGTGGCCGGGCGCTTTCGCAGGATGTGCCTGCGCCTCCTCGAAAGAAACGTGTGGCACTTCGCTGGGCTGCTGCTCTGGCTGTTGCAGCGACCTTTGCTTCGCTACGTGCCCCTGCCGTACAGCAACACCGTTGGCAACACCCGATCGGCAGCCGAGTGGAAGGAGCAGGCCGAGGCCATGGTACGCAGCGGGGCTGTGTCTCGGCGGCATTTCGTGCAGCTGCCCTTCAGAACAAGTTCGAGAACCTTCTCCTGCTCAAGGATGCGGCCTATCTGCGGGACAGGCTGGGCATCAAGCTGGCCTTCCTCGAGGACCCAATGTTGGAAGGCATGCTGGCAGCCCGGTACACGAAAGGCTTGCGAGCAGCCATCAACGGACAGTTGGTGGACAAGTTGAAGGCCGAGGCTGCCGAAAAGAAGGACAAGAGCGAGCGACTTCAAGCCGCCAGGTCCTTGTTGGGGCCAAAGGGAGGACTACCGACGCTGAAGCAAGACCTGCTTCGTTTGGCCACCCTTCTGCACGTGGAGGTGCAAGCCTCGGATACCATCGACAATCGACAAGCTCAAGGCCAAGATCCGTCCGACCTTGGACGCACTGCGGGGAATCCCGTTGCCGACAACTCCGGCAGCTTCTTCCTTGGGGACCCCGGCGGCATCTTCGGCAGATCTACCAGTACCTCGGCGAGAACCCGAACAACGACCTCAACAACGAGCCCTGCAAGCCGAGGTGGGCCAGCGCACGGCAGGGCCAATGGAGCCCACGGGGCCCACGCAGGCCGAGATTCTGATGGAGGTTCGCGACCAGCGGTTGGAAGCCATGCTGGCGCAGACGCTGCAGCACTTCATGGTGATGACGGGGCAGAACGCGATGGTGCCCGATGGGGAAGATGGCCTGTCACCGGACAGCGACATGGGCTTCCGCACCGTGGAAAACGACGAGCTGTGATAGCCCCTCTTCGGCAACAGCTCAAGGCAGGCCAGCGCCTGGTGATAGCCCAGGCGTGGAACAAATGCAAGCATGACCGCAAGCTCGTCAAGGCCAGCCCCCAGGATGTGAACGAGGCCTTTGCCGTGCTGGACGACCGTGTCTATGACGAGGCACTCCACGAGCCCTTTGTGGGGGCTACCTTTGACCTTCGGACTGGCGACCGCGCCCCTCTTCTTCATGATCTGGTGCACTTGGCGGCTCAGCGGGGACATGCTGTTCAATCGTCGCCGGCCGGCCCCGGGCACAAGCCTTACTTTCTGCTGCTGCGTGCTTGTGGGCCGTCGCCTCTTCTCAACTACTCCCCCGAGCCGACCAGACTCGCCGCTGCAAAGAAAACTTTGGGAGCCGAGGCGTCTGCGATGGCGCAAGCTGTGGCGCACCGGCGGTCTGGCCGGCACTTCTTCATGGAGCTTTTTCGTGGTGCCGCGCCGCATCGCACCGTGGAGGGGCAGGAGCTGATGGATGAGCCGGGCGTTTTCGACTTTTCCTGGAACGGCCGGCGCTACCTGACCTCCAGCGAGGCCGTGGCCAATGCTTTCAGAAGTTCGGCTGCTGACGGTCTGGTTGGGGCCGTGCTGGAAGCGATGCAGAAGCGTTTGAGGACGACCACGGGCCGCAGTGTGTGTGAGGAGAAGCGGCCGCCCAAGGCCAGACGACCGGCTTCTTTGCCTGGACCGCGGGAGCCGGGTGAGCAGATTGCCTTGGATATCTTCGACGTCTTTGACGCAGCCGGCACCCGGTTCTCCATCCTGCACGCGGTGGATGGGGCGACTAAGTTTCAGATGGCTGTGCTCGTGGTGAACAAGTCCAGCGCTGAGGTTGTGAAGTTTCTGCGCGAGCGCTGGGCCCCCGTCTTCGGCATGCCTCGCACGATTGTGTGCGACCAGGGCCGGGAGTTCATAAGCATTGAGCTGGAGGACTTCGCCAGCCAGAACAATATTTTCCTGTACCACATCGCTGTGCAAGCCCCTTAACAAAACGGCCTGTGCGAGAAGGTTGGCGGGATCCTAAAAGGGCTGATCAGTGCTTGTGCTTCGGCCCAGTCCTTGATGGGAGCCGACGAGATGACCCTCGGCTTGAACATCGATGTTGGTGACAGCGGCTTTTCTCCGATGCAAGCTGCTGTGGGCCGACAACCTCTGCCACCTGGCGATGCTCTGGCTGAGGGCCACATGGGCGAACTGGATGCGATGGAGGAGCCTAGCTTTGCTCGACTGGTGGCCGTGAGAGAGACAGCTCGAATGGCGATGCTCAGGCTGCACTTTAGCCGGGCCCTTCGGAGAGCAATGGTGGCGAGATCCAGGAACCCGACCGTTGCACACTCCCCCCTGGTCGGCGACCTTGTCTACTACTGGAGGGAGCAGAAATACAACCGACGCGGGGGGCAAGACAGGCGCAGGCTGTTGCTGCGCAAATGGCACGGTCCGGGCCTCTTGGTCGCCTTCGAGGGAACAATTGCTACATCACCTCGAGGGGAACCTTGACAAAGGTGGCTCTGGAGCATGTGCGCCGGGCCTCCCCTATGGAGCAGATTGCCACTTCTGAAGGAGGTCGTTGAGGCGGCCGAGCGCGACCAAGACTGGGAGCTCGTGACAACCAACGACGGCAACGCTGGCCGGCTTGAGGCTGAAGGCGAGGAAGGCCCTGGAATCTCTCCTTCAGAGCCACCTGCAGTTTCAGCTCCACCTGGGGAGCCCCAAGGCCAGGACGATGATGCTGGCGAAGGCCAGTCGGCCGTTTTTCGTGAAGGCGCTGGAATCTCTTCAGAACCACCGGCAGTTTCAGCTTCACCTGGGGGGTCCTTTTTAGATGAAGGTGTGCGCCAGAGTTTCCGTGACCAGCTGCAGGAGGCTATGCATAGAGCTCGTGAGCACCGTGGGCAAGACCTTCCACCGGTCTCTCCAGACGAGATGGTGAGGGCGACTGCGTCTAGTGTGGGCAGTGCTTCGCGGAGACCTTCTACGTTGTTGGGCCCCGTGGCTTCTGGTGCATCTTCCCGAGCTCCCGGCACACGTGTGACAGGTCTCCTTCGCAAGCCGCCGGAAGCCGATGAGGAACACTCTCCTCTGGCTCCTTTTCCGGAAGAGATCGAGGACCCAACTGGCACCAAGCGGCCGGCGGAGGTGGAGACAGAGGACCTGCGACAACAAAGTGACCCTGTTCCCTTTGACGCCCTGGCCTTGGAGAAGAGCTTGGTGCTCGAGGCCGCCCAGGCAAAGGAAGGGGACGTACACCCTCTGGTGCGTCTACAAGCACAAGTTGCTGTAGATCTTGCGGAGGGCGAGAACCTGGAGGCGAAAGACCATGGTACTTGGGACGGTCGGTGGCCTTTGCCGAGCTGGTCCGAGTATGAATCCTTCGTTCGAGCTGGCCTTCGCTGGCCGGCCAGGAAGGAGTACCACTGGCGCTCCATGAACGCAGAGCAGCGTGAACTTTTTCGAGAAGCTGCTCGCGAGGCTTGGAATGTCTGGGTTCGCAACGACGCAGTGGAGACCTTGACGGAGGAGGAGACGGCCAAAGTTTTGGCGACACTGAAGCAGCGAGGCGAGATGCACAAGATCCTGACGCCCCGCTACGTTTTTACGGACAAGAACGACGGGCTTCGCACTTCCTCCAACAACTTGCCAATCAAGGCAAGTGCTAGGCTGGTGGTCCCAGGATATAAGGACGAGACGGCCTTTGACCTCCGCAAGGACGCCCCAACTGCCTCGCGGACGTCCCAACACCTTCTGTTCTCCCTTGGCTCTAGCTACGAAGGGCTGGAGGACGGGAACCGCGGACGTGAAGAGCGCCTTCCTCAAAGGAGAAAGGTACATTGATGGGGTGCGTGAGCTTTACCTTCGGAACGTGGAGACGAAGGACGGGAGCCCTGCGTTACCAACTGGAGGCCGCTTGAGCAAAATAGTGAAAGGAGTGTTTGGCCTCAGTGACGCCCCTCGTGAGTGGTACCTTCGCCTCAAGAAAAGCTTAAAGCGTGAGAAGTGGAGCCAGTCGGCCATGGATGCCGCGACCTTCTTTCTTTGGTCTGGTGGAGAAAGGCCAGAGCTACTCGGCATGATGTGCTGCCACGTCGATGACCTGTTGTTTTCAGGAAGCGAGGAAGCTTGGGCCTCTGTTGGCCGGCTGGGCGAGGAGCTGGGCTTTGGGTCCGTGGAAAAGAACGACTTCGTCTACTGCGGCAAGCGGGTGGCCCAGGACTTGAACACCGGCGTGATCAGCGTCTCCATGCATGGAGGCCTACGTGGACAACCTCGTTCCGATCCGTGTGGCGGCGAGCCGCCGGCGGGACATGGACTCTGCCTTGAACCCTGGAGGCCTGGAGAAACTCGTCAGCTGCGTGCCTTGGTGGGTTCTCTCCAGTGGCTGGTGGCGCAAGTTCGAGCTGACATGGGCTACCACCTCAGCGTGTTGCAGGCCGAGTCCCCGGCCGTGGCTACGATGCTCAAGGCGAACCTTCTCGTGAAGGAGTTCAAGGCCACCAAGAATTTCATGCTGAAGTTCCGGCCGATGAACCTCGAGGGTGCGGGCATTGTGGTGGTTTCTGACGCTTCCTTGGGAAACGTCACCCGAGCTGGAGCGGTGGGGGAGAAGCCTCTTGAGAGGGTTTACTCTCAGAGCTGCTATACTGTGTCCTTTTGGCCGAGCGCGAGTTGGTTCAGGGCGGGTCTGGAAAGTTCGCCCTCCTGGACTACAGAAGCCACCGTCTGCAGCGAGTTTGCAGGAGCACCTTTGCTGCAGAACTTCTCGGCGTGGAGGAGGGCTTTGACATCGGCCAGTACTGTCGTGGGCACTGGGCCGAGGCGCTGGGGTATGACCTGGCGCACAAAAGCGTGGATTGCATCGTCGACACGGTGGCCCTTGTGGTGGTTACAGATGCCAAGGACACGTTCGACAAGGGGAACAGCGACACCCCCTCCTACGGGAGCCAGAAATCCTTGGCGTTCAGCATCGCTTGGCTTCGCGGGATGCTGTCCAGACCCAATGTGTCTCTTCGCTGGACGGAGACGAGCAACATGTTCGTCGACGCCGGGACAAAGGATATGTGTGGCGACCACATGAGGAACACCTTGACTTCAGGGGAATGGAGTTTTCGCTACAACGCCAAGTTCGTGAAGCAGACGATCAAGGCGAAGTTCAAGGTGACCGCGGGGCCAGAAGTTGTGAGCGGGTCCGCCGTGAGCTCCTCAGATCCCATACTGGGATTCCTCCAGGGGCTAGCCACGAAACGTGGTTGGCACCAAAAAGACGGTTTGGCCATTCAAGTGGCCCACGGAGCTCGGAGTTACAGACGGCCAGAGCCCAGGTTTGAAGCAGCGAAGTATCCGCTCCGCACCACATACGCCCTTTTCCATGATCCCCAAGGACGTGGGGTGTGGCGAATCCTTGAAAGGGATGAGCCTTACAGCCGCAATTTGCGGCCCTTGGATCGGGAGGCAGCCGTTTTGATCACCGTGTTCAAGACCTCAAAAGAAGAGAAGATCAATGAGAAAGCTAGCACTGTTTCCGGTGAGTCTTGACGGTGATCCGAACTGCTGTGTGCCGACGCCTTTTCTGAAGCGCTTGATCCAGACTTGCTACTGGCAGGCAAAAGGTGTGAGCCTGTAGTGCCCTGTGAGCCAGGGTTACTTAATTATAAACATATTAAACCTCCTCTTCCTCATGTCATGATTAAGTAAGGTTTTATTATGTTTCATTGTTACTGGTAGACACCGCATTAAATCTCCATAGACATGCGCACACACAGAACAAGAACTCCAATAAAGACTTCAGTTTAGTCGTCAGGCGACGGATGCTCGGAGCGAGGTGCTTCGCTCTGAAGATCTAAAGCGACTCCTGGCGGAGGCCGGAGAAAGGGGCTCAAGATTGGAGCCCCGGTTTGGGCTTACCTGTACTGTAAATTGCTGTTCAGGCCTTCTGGATTTCAAGTTTTCGTGCTTCAGGCTTTCAATGTTCCCAAGTATGAAAGCTGTGATGAGCAGCACTTCAACCCAAAACGATTTGACCTGTGGCATTCCGTTGCTGGTGCAGCACCAGATAGGCAGCGTGACACCGCATGTTTGCACTTGCAAAGGTCTACGACTCCAAGGACACCAGGTGAGGGCCTTGTACGGCTGCCGCATCGTCATGGCGGGCTGTCTCTTACAGGTGGGTTCTCCAGCGACTGCAAGAGCAGCCGGTGCAGAACAACACCATGGTGGCCTTCAAGACCTTAGTAGCAGGGTGCTCGTGGGAGCTCGCCGCCTTCTATCGAGTTTGCCGCGCCTGCTTCGAGACGCGAGGTCCTTCACCGCATCCTTCAATGTTCGCCACCGCAGGTGGGATGAAAACGAGTGTGCAGCACCTTCGAGCTAATCCAGCCGTGGTCTTTGGTGCATGTCAAAGTGGGGTCTGTTTGCTGAATGCTGCCGGACATACCGGAACCTGGTCCCCATTGCCACCGTGCTCTCGTCCCTTTCGAGTAGTCTGATCCTCTTGTTCAACTGCTCCGGTCAGCGAGGTGTCGATCTTGCTCCAATCCTACATTCCCTTTTGAGCGGTTTGCTCTCTTTCCCAAGCAGTTGTCGAGTCTCTTTCGAGTGGTTTGCTCCTCCTCCTCCTCACAGTCTAGGTTATTTCGAGCACCGTTTGCCGTTTTGGCACATGCCGTAGACCCTTTCGGGCGATCAGAACATGGAGCTAGCCATTCCGAAAGGAGTAAACCACTCGAAAGGGTCGAGACAGCTTGAGAAATGGATTGAAAAAAGTTGAGTACGAAGTGCAAGCCGCTCGAGACGGACTAAACTTATAAGAGGAGCGAACGGGTTCAGTCCCTTTCCGGCGGGTTGTTTTAGATCCTCAGCTTTTGTAGGGCTTTTCGAGCGGTCCTGTTTCTCATTCTCTACTGCCAAGTCTCTTTCGGGCCGTTTGTTCTAGTTCCTCAAAGTCCAGTCCCTTTCCAGCAGTTTGCTCCTATGTCTCAGTATCTCTTGTGTGCTTCGGGAGTTTGTTTTTCTCAGTCTCCCTTTGTGTGTGGTTTGCTCTCTGTCTGAGTCAGAATCGAGTTGTTTGATCCCGTTCTCCAAGTCTTTTCCGAGCGGTTCACTCGTCAAACGTTCGTTCGCTCCGTTTCGAGCACTTGCTCCCCCTTTTCAGTTTATCTAAGTCCTTTCGAGCGGTTTGCTCCCAGTTCCTCTCGCGCGGTTTGCTCCTGTTTCTCAGCTTCCTCTTTGATCCGCCGCTCGTCTTTCTCGGGTCATGAAGTTCCTTCCGAGCCTCCATATCCTACCCACAACCTGCGTGCACGCCACCCCAGAGCCTGCAAGCATTTTCGGGACCGGCAGCCAGGAGTCAAGCTGTGCAGATGCCCGAATATGCCCCTGTTGCGAAAACGCGTGCGCCCCGAAACTGGCCTGTGGGGACCCGTTGCGCCTCAGGCCGCAGATCTGACAAGGCTGCCGGGACAGCTTTCTGTAGTCGACATGGACAATCTTGTTCACTTGCGCTTGTCGGCCGTGAAGGTCCAGCACTTTGCTGGCGTCCATCGTCGCAGCTTGGAGCCAGGCCTGAAACTGAGACTGAGCGCAAATCGCACATGCTTCCCGTCCTGGAGCAGGCAGCTAGCGACGGACACGGCACACAGGCAAGCCGTTCCTGTGGGACCGGTTTCAAGAGATGCGAAGTCTACTCTGGACGCTGTGGTGGAGCTGTGCAATTTCCGTTAAAGGTTCTGCGTGTAAACGTACCCATTTTTTTGACAAACCCTTGATGTTAACAGTGTTTTCGGGGAGCACTAAATCATTTGGCCCGGTATGCACCGGATGACCACTGGGCAATTGCGACCTAGTATTGTAGCGGGACCCTGGAAGCGCTTAAGGGTAGATGGTTGCAAGATGGCTCAGTCTCCCAGCTCTAGCTCTCTCGCTCTCTCTCTCTCTGAGTTTCAGGATTATCTCAGCATCCGAAATGTTACGCTTGCAAGAGCGAGTGCGTGAATTGAGTTCCTTTCCCAAACGTTCCCCTTGCCAAAGCTCTGTCAGGGCTGGAGGGACTGCAGCCAGTAGGGGCCGTCGGAACTTAGGACTGCAGACACTTCCTTGGTCTGAATGGGGGTTTAGAAAGAAGCTGAGGAATGCGAAGATGAAAGGAATGGCCCGCAATACGTAAAATGCATGTTTAATGTAGCTGGAGCGGGAGGAGTTTTTAATAGTAGGGGGAAGCGATGATTTGCACTGGGTACAGGACATCACAAGGCTGTTTTGTCTCTCATTGTGGTTATGTTCATTGCCAGCGACGCCACAAATCTTGGCAATCCTGGAACAGCCACCAACATGAATGCTGCCTTGTGATAAGGTCATTGCATCGTTTCGTGAGAGACGTTTGCAGCGTCACTGCAGTTCTTCTATCCGTGTGCAGAGGCGTTCCACGGCATCCAGGCCGCGCATGACGGGAGGGTTGGCTGACCGCCGAGGTCATGAACGCGTGAGCGGAGGTTCTAGGCTGGAAGAGTGATCTTGTTCCGGAGTGACCCAGGTGGTGATCGACTATGCACAGATGCTCCAAAGTAAGCTAGAGCTCATGAACAAAGATTCTGGCGACGCACCCAGCAAGCTTTGTCACGAAAAGCTGAGATTGGCATGAGCTCTGTATGCAGGGTTCCTCATCTTTCTTCGCTAGTTAAGCTGGGGGAGGAAATGGGTGCTTTCGACCCAGGCTGCGGCTACTTCACGGGAAATTTCTGCTTCAGCTTCTTGGCTTCAACAGACCGGCCCCACGGATGCTGAACTTGGGTAACTTGGGCACTTCTAGCCTTGAAATTGAGCTCGCTGAGACGCCTCAGGCCGTAGCATGGCCGAACCTTGCGACCTCCTGCAGGTGCAGAGACAAGGGACGCGGGAATCTCCGGGGGGAACCTCCTCCCGTCCTCCCGTGCCGAACCTTCGATCTCCACATCCATTCATACAGGAAGCAAGTTCTGCCGCGAGGCCTTGGCGCTTTTGCTGTCGCTGGCGGAGAAGCTGATGCCCCTGGCGCTCGAGCTCACGCAGGAGCAGGCCCAAGCAGTCCGCGAACTTCTCCGCACTTCCCGAAGGGCCAAAAGGCGGCGAAAACCCTTGAGCTCAATTGCTCTCTACTGCTTCGGATTTGTGATAGGTGTGACGAATCCCATCAGCCATCGAAGTTGTCGAAGAAGTGTAACAAGTGTGGAACAAGAGCGAATCTATGAGCGCGGGTTTGCAAAATGGAAAGTGTAGCAGAGCAGCTTCCTCGGCAGGAGCCGGCAATCGATCAAGCAGACCGTCATGAATCAAGAACAATGGCACAAGCATCAGGATCAAGACAGAATATCAAATCCTGGCAGCCGGACTTCAGGATTGGATCTCCCCAGAGCAGTCACCCTTCGGCCGTCTGTACCTTGGAGCCCGAACCTCATCTTGCCAAGTTCATGCATTGGTCGGGCCCCTGGGCTGCTGCGTGAGATGGACTCCACAGTAAGCCACACTGCAGTCTTCTGTGCGAGTGATGCAGAGGCCGTCCCAACGTTGCTGGACGAGGTGGGGCAGCAGCCCTGCGCGGTGAGCGTAGGACAGAAAAGCAAAGCCTCTGCGGCTTCTGCAGTGTGGTAAGCATTTTCACAATGCACCAGCGCCAGAGCTTGTGGTTGGTAGAAGCCAATAAGGGCACGGAAAGCGAAAAAGCGACGGAGAGGCAGAACGCCAAGTGTTTACATCGAGAAAGTGTGTGGGTTAAAGTCTCGGGAGCGACGGCCTTCCTCCTCCTTCGGCTGAGATGTGCTGTACTTTTTAGTTCCCTCCAAGTCCCCTGTCTGAAACTCTCATGTAAACCCCAACTTGTGTGCCGATGTTCTGCCATCCCGTCTTCGGGGGCAGATTGCGCATCAGAAACTGCGCATCAGCAACCAGCGCGCGTCAGGAACCGGGGCATCAGAAAGCAAAGCGTCTCAGAAACTGGGTTTGGAAACTGGTGCGGGACGGGGGGGGGGGGGTTGGGGCATGGTAACATCCATGGTCTAATGCATTCTGCGCACAAAGCATCCAGGGCCCAACTGCGCATCCACGGCCCAGCCATGATAACATGGTTTGATGCAGTCTGACTCTATGCAAAGGCAGGGGCAGGGGTGAGTCAGGGGGGTTGGGGGGGCTGATAACGTCCATGGTCCAATGCATTCTAAACACAGAGCATAATTTCTGGCTCCAAGGGGGGTGTGGGGGGGGGGGGGGGNNTGGTCGAATGCATTCTGAGCACAAAGCCTCCAGGGCCCAACCATCATAATGTCCATGGTCTGATGCATTCTGACAAGCTCTAGAGAGCATCCATGACCCAATCATGACAACGTCCCTGGTCTAATGCGCTCTGAAAATTTTAGCCCTGCCCGGCCCTTGGGTCCGCAACCTTCCTGGCAACCGTTCCCGAATCAAGGCCTCTGGTTTTCGAAGGATGTGTCTGGTTTCTGATCAGCCGTTCTGGTTTCCGAATCAGTCGTTTTTCCTGTTTCCGAATCATGGTGTGGTTTCCGAATCGGTCGGTCTGGTTTCTAAATCAGCCGTCTCGGTTTCCGATTCAGCCGTTCTGGTTTCCAGAACATGGCTGGTTTCTGAATCATAGCTGGTTTGTGATTCAGCCGTTCTGGTTACCGATTTTTCCACCGACCCAGATTCCGCTACGTGCATTGAGGCATGGCAGCTTCTATGTGCAGTCTCGGCCACTTGAGCGGCACTGGTGCGATGCTGTTGTTTGATTTCGAACGTGTCCGCCAGAGAGTTGCCTCCGAGGTTTTCGTGCGTGACTTGCTGTGGCAGGCCGGGTCGTAACTGTGCGGACGGAGCTGTTGACTTTGCGAAGTTTACCCTCAGTCTCTGATCAATTTCCCATGTGCCACATTAGCATCCCGCCCGTGAGTCCTGGCAAGTCGCTCTCTCAGGTCCATGCTGCCGCGAAGTTTCTTTGCACCAGGCTCTTACGGTCCTTTCGCACTGAGAGGCTCTTCATCAGACGGGAGACTTGCAAGTGGAACGAGATGCAGAAACTGCGTTGGTATTCGCACGTGACACCAGGGGGGGGCATGTCGACCATGCAGTACATCCAGCAAAAAACATCTGCAGGCATGCGGTTTTCGGGACTTGGACATGAATCCGTATTTGCGCGGATGTTATTGCACATCATCTCTGTAGACATCAGCAGCCATGAATCATCGCGATACCTCTCGCTCTCTCTCTCTCTCTCTCTCTCTCTCTGTCTCCGCGTCACGGCCCGAGGGCCGTCTGACGTGCACGGGCCTCACGTCAACTACTCGCACCTTAAGCGTGGGATGCCGACCCGCTGTTGGCTTCAGTGTCTCTTCACGGAGATTCTCGTTTCTCTTGTAGGCTGCCCTGTGCGCAGCGGGCACGGCACACTGTTTGGACTCTTCTCATGCGGATCTGCATCATCAACATCATCATCATCATCATATAATCATCATCAACATTGTGTTTGGTTGTTGTGGTAATGGTCGTTGTGGGTCACGGCCGTCTGCGTCTACGGAACGGTTTCAACCTAAGCCTAGGCGGAATGAATGTCCGCCCTCCTCAACAGCCCCCCACCCCAAACCCAGAACCACTGACGAGACCGGCGGGAAGGAAGCCAGAAGTGCAGCAAGCAACACGCCCGAAGCTCCCTGCAGTACATCACAAACACCGAGTCGAAACGCAGGAAAGTGCAGGGAAGCACACACACACACCAATACCAAGCGCATTCCAACTACTTGTGCTATCCTGAGCCCGAGGACCTAGGAAGCAAGTCCTGCACTTCATGGGACCATGAACCAAGCACCGGCCGGAACCCACAACAGGGAGGAGCCACGTCAACGCCAAAACCCTGGACCTCCTTGGTCCGGCACCCGAACATTGCTGTGTTTGATGTGTAGGTGGGATCTCTCTTTCTTTCTCGCTCTTGCCGAAAACGCGCCACAGACTTTTCGGTCGTACCGAGGCTGGAGCTCGCAATGCACCTCCTGCAAGCCCAGCAGGGAGCCCAGAGCCACGTGATTTATCTGGTGATGCCGGCGTCCTTTGATATCATTGTAGCAGCCTTGTTACATTGTTTTATGGTGACCGACGAGTCTACTCGAAGCTGGGTGAGATCGTCCGAGGCCTCGCTTTGTGCGATTCCACAGCGCCATGTGCGACTTTGTGGCCCTCTGCACTGCGGGCCACACTTACAGTGCAAGCAAGCAAGGGGCACCGCAGGCTGCCTGTTTGGGAATGTTTGAGTTGGGACTGCATACTTTCCTATGTATCTTCTTCCCAGCGCATCGCTCCCAACTTTGAACTCAGGCATCTTACTTGTAGGTGATGACAGAATCGGAGGATAAAGCAGCAGATGCGGCAAGCAAGCCAGGCCACCAATTGCGATGTGCAGGCTACGCCGAGCTCGCCCCGCACAGCTCTTATCGGTAGTTATCGCAGTGCTCCCGTGTCATGAATTGTCATGAAAAGGCCGGAACCGAATTGGGAAAAGTGGTTGCACCGCAAACATCAGCAATAGCCGCGTTGTGCGACATCCATTCGAGAGTCTAGAGAACATGTGACAACACAGGGCTGGGGAAGCCACTGCTCGCTGCGTCGCTCATCATCCGATTGGCATGCTGCTCGTTTACTTGGCATGCTGCCCGTTCTGTTGTTTCGAAACCACAGAACAATACTTAAAACATCAGATGCGCTGTGGCGCTGAGGCCTTACAGTATCCCTGCGGTGCCCCAGGCCAGTAGTCGGCTCAGCATCAGGTTTAAGTGGCAGCAGCGGCTGCAGGTTACGACTCGAAACACTTAGCCGTAGTGCGAGCTCGGAGTTCCGTTGGGGAGGGGTGCTTCGTGGCTGCATGGCCATTGAGGTTTTGACGGCATGAACTTGCCTGGGCAGGCTTTGCTGAACCTCTTCGCAGACTTCGAAGAGCTCGTAAAGGGCCACTGCACAGGGCAAAGTTCGTGGATTTGTCCACCCGTTTCTCCAACCACGCCCTTGCTGCGGATGAGGGATGTTTTTACTCTACTGGCCTGGCAAGCAAAGCATGTGTGGCAAATGCTCTGGGCTCCGGGTGCAAGACAGGTGGGTGGACTACGTAACGATTGCAAGAGACCCCAAGGTGCTGAGCGGGGAACTCCGCTGACCGAAGCGCCGAAGCCAACGCCACTCGCCTTCTTGCATGCGTATCGCAACCTTTAAGTATAACGAGCAATAGAACGATACGATGCCTGAGTCCTTGTTGCGTCGGAGCTGGCAGACAGCCTATTGAACCACGCAGGAAGATCGCATCCTCAAGGAGCTCGAGCAAGTCCTCCGAAGCTTCCAAGGCCAGTCGCTTGTCACCCATCATTTTGCCTGCATACCACGACATGAGGATTGCAGCTCGTGTGATGTCACTCCCTTAAGTTGAGAATGTGAGAAGGCAACAGGCAGCACAGACAACATCAGCCAGCGCCCAAGACAAGGGAACGACCAAGGCAGCGTGTGAATCATTCGCCAGACAGATTGTCGTCTTCTGGTTGGATGTGTGTTGGCCCTGCTCGAATCCAAGGCACCGTATCTACTGCTGCCGGCAGCACCGTCGCTCCTGAAACAGGCCCGCACAGACTTCATCCAACCCGCTAAAGCTTACTTACAGCAAGCAGTTGCTTTTCGGGCAACCAATGAACAGCAAACTAGATTCTGGCGGCCTGTGGTTGTGGGGTGCAAGGCAGTGCAAGGTACGGCCATTCTTGCGAGGTGGCTCGACCTGGTATCCGTCTGCGCGTGTCATGGACGCCCTCCGAACCGTGGATAGCCAGGTGCTTGGCAGCTGAAGCCATCAAGCCATCAAGGCTTCCGGTTTGGGCTTCGAGGATGCATGGCTTCAGGATGGTGCGTCTTAGCGCAGTTCTACATGAAAGCTTCTCTCAGCGATTGTGCAGAGCTTCCGCCACTTGCTCTTTTGCAAGGCCTCCAGCGGCTCGGACCCCGGTTTGGTCACAGAATGCCAGACATGACGACTGTCTCTGTCTCTCTCTGTCTCTCTCTCTCTCTCTCTCTCTCTCTCTACCTATCTCACACACGCGGACATCTGCAAACGGTTGAACTTTCCCAGACTTTGCTCACCTGCCCAAGGTCACCGTTGCTAGCTGAAGAGGAAAGCACAGGTCTCGCTGCAGGGAAACATCGGGATGTCAGGGCAGTGGACGTGCGATCTCACATACGGTTTAATTCTGTTTCGGGTCTTTCGCATCAAGTACGTGCAGAAGCTGATGCAGGCGATAGGGGTTGACAGCGTACTTGGCTACTTGACAATCAGGAATGGGGGGCCCGCTTGACAGTACCGTCGACATGCCGAGGCGAGGATCCGAAGGATCACGGCTATGCTGGAAGCCCGGCGCTGCAAGCGAGACCACACGGAGAAGGTGGAAAGAGTTCAAAGATTCGATCAGAGAGCTGAATTTCTTGGTGCAAGATGCTTCTGTTCTTGAAAAGTCCTTCGTCCAGCTTCGATGATGCCCTGCGGCATGCTGATCTCATGTCATCAAAGCACGATCACCTCAGCTCAGGAAGACATCGGAGAAAAGTCTCTCGCCGGACTTGGGCTTTGAACGGTTCATCCAAGCTGAGGATCTCCTTGACAGCAGCAGTGGCGAGCAGCCGGCCCTCGTGCAGGCGACACACAGAGCTCTGCAAGAAGATGTGTACCGTTCGGCCCAGAAACCGTGTGTGACGGTGTCTAGCTGGTATGTATCGATACCCGAATGTCCCTCAAGAGGCGCCAGTGTACCCTCACACAGTGGATCCAATCCTTCTGCACGGCATTTGGATTGCTTGGCCTTCTGCAGGAAAAGCTGCATACACCGGTCGAGCCATCGAGTGAGGCTCCTTTTGCCCGATGTAGCAAATCTGCTGAACTTGCGTGTTCTAGCTCCTCTCAGTCTTGGACATATCGACAAAGTCGAATGCTGCATAGGCGGGTCTATGCAAGGTGTGTACCAGCTGTTCGTTGGTCGGTGCTGCCTGATTGGGTTTGGTGGTTTGATTTGTGGCGCTCGGCACCACTGCTTTGTTCATTTTGCGAGCAAGACACTTTAATGCAACCTCGCGGCCATTTTGGCTTAAGTGCTGCTTTTCTGTTTTGTTTCTGCTGTGCCCTGTTGCTGTTCTCCTGCTGCGAGCCATGAGCAGCTCCCCTCTCGCTACTTTGGTTCGCCGTTTGCGAAATGCCGCAAGCAGTGGCAAATGGCCCAGCTCTCAGTACAAGACACCGCGCAAATTCATCCATACATCACATATGCGGCCGCGGTAGCGAAATCATACTGCTCGTTATGTGGAAAGCAGGTACAGGATGTGCAGAGCTAGAGCCGCCACATTAAACAAAGGCACACTGCCGCACATCCAGTGGCTCTCCAACTGGCCACGTCGAACACTTTGCCATAAGCACAGGTAGTCAGACCATGTATATGGTGCCGCGCTCATTTCCCCAAGTCTGCTCGAGAACACCGACTGAAGTGTCTCCAGCTTTTGCAGCTTTGCCTGCACCATGACGGAGACACCGCAGGAACTGACACTGGCACAACAGATGGCCTCGGTGTGCGGCTGAGCTCCCAGGTAGCAGCGCAGCTTCATCCCCAGGAATCGGAGAGACCGAAAAAAAAACCGCCGGACCAGCCGAACAAGTTCCACAAGGGCACCGGAAAGGGAAGAGGACGGGGACCACTGCCAAAGAGCAAACGAGGCTGGGATCCGAGATGATCCGGGCGAAGAGCTCCTCATGGATCAGGACATGGAAGGGTTGGACGAGGAATCCGTGCGCCGGATTCTCCGAATCCTTGTGAGGGCGGCAATCCGCCACGAACAGCAATTGACAATCCTAGAAGCAGACAGGTCGTACACCTTCTTTTTCGAAACGAAAGATCTTGGCATCGTGCAAATGCTAGTGCAAGCGAGCAGGACGTGGCATCAGCGGTTCGGGCCATGCTCATGGGATGGCAGCTGCTTACAGAAGGCCGAGACGGACGAGAAAATGCTAAGGATCATGGAGACTGCGGGATGGGCACAGCGGACTCCGCTCCAGTGGTGCGACACAGAGTGGAATCAGGAGCAGAGAAAAGCGCTCCCCAGCAGCAAGGACAATCTTCCACACGAAGAGGCCAAGATAGCAGTAGCAGGACACACCGCCAGAAGCGACGTGGTGCATCGCTTTCAGTCCCTCAAAGCGATGCTGCTGATGCTGCAGATCCTGACCGTGCATCAACATGCAACGGAGATCTACCAGGACCTCGACAACCTGGCCAACAACAGCTCTGGGGCAAGCTGATCGGACTGAGGCTGAGGAGGGAAAGAGTCAGCAAGTCAGCATTGGCAAAGGAACTCGAGCGTCTGCAGCTGTGATTGCTGAGTGGTCTCCACCTCAGTCCCAATAAATGCGAACCTGCAGAAGTCAGGGGGAGCGGTCTCCGCAAGGTACCGGGCACAAATGTCGCGGAGCCTGCGCAAGCAGAGCTTCGCGCCTGTTCTGCAGGCCGCACCGACTCTACACTCCAAGCGAAGTCTAGCCGTAATACTCAGACCCCATGAAGAGTTTTAGCAAGCATAAGCATCCACTAGTTCGCAGACGGTGCGACTGCTTCGGGGACTCATCGCAAGCATGAGGCCGATGACATTACAAGGAACCAGCGGACTCCGCGGTCCGCATAGTAATGTCTACAGAGAAGGCACAACAGCGGCACTCGGGGAAAAAAGCAGAGTTCGCTAGACACCTGGCGACGACCAGTGACAGGGCCGCGCACCGCACATGCACACAATCTCAGACTGCACATTCCGCATAACCTCTGCAAAAACTCCGTCATTCAGATGCTTCATCAGGCCATGACCAGAACTGGCAACGTCACAGGCTTGGCTGCACTCAACGGCCCATTGGCACAGGCAGTCAGGTCCGAATCGGCGATTACTTTAACCCGAGGACCGGAGTGGGAATTCTTATGGCAGGGATGGTAAAGACCCATGATGTCGCAGAATTTTTGCAGCACATGTGCACACGTGCGGAATGTCTGGCCATGAGAGGTGGCTGGGAAGCACGTAGGCCGAAACGGGCAGCATACGAGATTCTTGATGAACAAGTCACTTGCCCGTAAATTCCTGCACAGACCCTTTAACCTTCAGGACGCGATACAGCGATGGCATAATCAAGAAGTAGGGATGCCTTGGTGCATCCTCCCAGGCTTCTCATTCTTCAGCTTGGTAGATTTCTGCACACCGCGCAGGGAACAAGGAAATCTAGGCAGACCTTTCATCTCGGCAGGTACATCACGATCCCAACGTTTACAGGCCCTGGAGGCGAAGTAGGAGACACTATGCGGAGGAGTCTTGCGCATTTGGCAAAGTCGTAACAGCTGGACACTACCGCGCTTTCTACTTGCCTGAGAATGATGAGGACCTGTGGTGCAATCACCTTTTGCATGATGATGGACAGGTTGCACCGACGTCACGTTCTGGCTGGTCCTTTGCGTGAGTTCCTGAAAGTTGTCGTGCTGTGGGTGTTGGCTCTTGTTGCCCTGACGTTACTCGGAGTGGCCGCTGGCAGGACGTTGCTAAGCTGCTAGTTTCTCAGACAAGCTGAACCACTATGCTGGCAGTAATGCTTCTGGCCCTTCTGCAGCGCCTGACGGCATCTTTGAGCCATGCCTGGATGACGGGAGCAGCAGCTCCAGTGGGGCCGACCTTGCTTTTGACGACAGCTGTGATGAGGTTGATCAACAAGTTGCGGCTGCACCTTACTTCCTGGAGAATCTGCTGGGCATGGGTGGTTTCGCTGTGGCCAGGAACAAGTCCTCAAAACTGCAGCACGTCTTGAAGCAGGACACGGGACGTCTCCTGTGTGGCAAGCTGTTCATTGACAACTTGGCTGTTAGCACCTTAGAAAGCGGTTCTGCCTTTTTCTGCTGCGTCTGCAAAACCTGTGGTCTGGCTATGCAGTCTATTTTTGTGATGCCGGGGACGCAGTATCATCTCAGGCATCCGTTCACTTGCACCGCATCGGATAGCCTTGCGGCTTCGGCCTCTGTTTTGCTGCACCTGACTGAACCAGCTGAAGCTGGGCCCCACGTCTGTAACAAGGAAGTCCGCATGCCATGCGTGTTTCTGAGCAGAGCGATTGCATTAAGGGCTCTTTATCGAATGTCGTTGAATTCGTCGGGTGGTTGAGTCAATGTGTTGAACATTTCTTCGGGAGAGCAACTTGGGAAGCAGACTTCTCATCTGCAAGTGCAGGTCGCAGAGGCTGCACCCGGACAATGCGGTAATGGAGGCCCCGCCTACTATTGCACTTCCCATGATCGGCGCTTGTATGCCGTGCTTGTATTCGGCTCCCAACTTTTCTGACCTGGTGCTTCGCCCCCTGCATTGCAGATCCGACAACTCAACTGTCTGCAGACACGCTTGGGAACCTTTAGTGCCTGTGTGACATCAATCTGCTTTCATGACATAGACATGGACTATACCAGGAAGGCAGAGCGGACACTGGACGCAGCTAGGGGGAAAAGGCCGATCCAGAAAGAAACTATCACGCATCCCGCAGATCGAAGCGGAGAAAAAACCTTTCCAGGCATTTCTGTAAGGGCCTCAAGGGCCTCAGGCAGATTCCAAAATCCGAAAACCCAAAAGCCCCCAAAAACCTTCAATTTCAATTAAACACTAGAGCCCCTAAATCCCGAACCCGTGAAACCACATTTCCCTGCACGATTGCTACTTGGAGGGCCGACCACTCCGCTGCTGAAAGCAAGCTTGATCTTCGAGGCAATGTGTGAACATTTTCTCACTTGAGGATGCAGTTTTTTGTTTACAAAGGGCTTTAAGGGTTGAGGGTTTACGCTGTGTGGTGTTTTCAGGGATGTATCGATACTGCCCGCCCGAAAAGCATCGCCCTCTGATACATACGTCCACAGATTTCCTGACCGAAGTTGTCAGGATCCGAAGTTGCCCAGCTGGGCAGCAGCTATTTGCAGGCCCAGGGTTTCCTTTACCTTCTCCCACAGCACCTCTGAGCGAGAACCAATCGAGTGGAACATGCCCACGTGATATTTCTTGGAATATTCCTAGGCATATCCAAGCTCAGTTGTGAATTTTTCAAGCAGTGCACCAGTGGTGGAAGAAGGGTGAGCCGATCTCACCAATTGCCGCGACTGACATTGTAAGCCTAAAGGCCTCAAGCAGCGCAGCATGCCTGCGCAGATGCGAGATTCGCAAGCCGTTTGCCAGTCAAGATTGATCCCATTGGCATGTCATATTGGACTCAGATGTTATTAGGTCCTAAGCCGGCAATACCGAACCTTCCCGTGCCCTGAAGCCCTTCCAGCTTGGAATCCCCACTGTAGGACATCACACAACAGCAACTTCAAAAATTGGCATTCCTGGCCTAGCCGCAGCTGCATGGGCTCCCGTGCCAAGAGGACGCGAAGGGCAGAAAACGTCGTAGACGTGTTGCCGGTACCATGCAAACCTTCTTTGGAACCTTTCTCTGCTCCGAAGCAGGACGAATGGGATCAGGTGCAGGCTCACTCCACCGGTCAGACACCAAAGACAGACTCTTGGCTTCCACAAAGTCCTCGTTCTTTGCTTTGCAGCATGTGCATTCATGGAACAGGCTCTTGAATGCAGTCTCGAGAGATGTAAGCACTCGCAGGAGTCTCATCTACACGCAGAGCCTACCCCAAAGCTCTCCAACAAAGGTGTAGGCAAGGATGAGGGAGCATGGCCGCGCCCCTTCCGCATCTTGTCGTGCACGGTCAGATCTGAGCCTTAAGAGCGTCTTTCTTTGGAGAATGGTCTAGACATATGCCGAGACGACAGCTGTGACGGGCAAAATCAAATCGAGAGAAAGCAAGGGGATTAAGATGCGGAGATGGAGTGTCCGCTGAAGCTTTGCGCTACAGTTCCCTTCGTCGTCGAGTTGCAGCTGATATCTGAGCACAGGGACAAGGACAACTAAGCATCAACTGGCAGATTAATCGACATTCGAACGGCAGAAGCGGAAGCCGGGCGTGATTTTCCCGGAACAAGTATGTGCCTGAGTGCACGTACTCAGGCGACTGGCTGGCCTGGGTCAAGGGAGAGAAAGGAATTATGGAGTTCAAGCCGACAGTCGACTTCTTGCGGCTTTGTTGCGATGGCTTTTAAGACATCCAATCCTCTTGTTGTTCACACTTTCTCTTTTGCAGGCGCTAACCTGCCTTGGGTTTAAATCTCGCCTGGCATTCGGCACCAGAAAGACAGCGTACTGTGTTGAGCAGCACGCATGCCTGGAGAAACCACTGCTGTCCAACGAGCACCAATGGATTTCGGCTCTGCTCTTCCCATCTCCGGTGCTGTCGTGTGAGGAAGATCCTGTCATCTCCCAACACCAGCTTGCAATACTACCTGCAGACCATCATCGCAGAGGTTATACGCAACTCGTCCCCGCGGGGCTGAACTTGGGGGTCGCGTTGTGACTGGGCGTTCGAAGCTTACAAGGTTGATGGCCAAGGCTTCACAACGTGAGTGCTTCCACCAGGTGAGTGTAGTGAACTTACATAGATAGGTTAGGTTAGGAAGGAAGGTAGCAACGCATTCCCGACTGGTCAGTGGCTAGCCTCCAACCGAGCCCAAACCATTGAGCAAGGTGTTCTCAATGCTGACCGTTGCTCCATCTTCTTCGTGGATGACATGCGCAAGGAAGTTTGGTGTGTTGGCTCCCTGGACATGGTGCCTCGTCTTCAGGACAGACAGAGGAGGAGAGAAGGCAAGTCTCCACGCAGCAAGCGCACCGCCCGAGTTGAGCTGCGGGTCGCAAGCATTTGCCTTGACCCAAAGATCCAAAGAGACTGAGGAGCCTTTCTGCCAGCCGTGGGACAAAGGGATCGTGGGCATGGTGGCAACGGAGGGGAAGATGGTTAACCTCGCAGGCGCTGCCCAAGCCAAGTGTCGCTCTGATCCGAAAGTCGCAAATCCAGGCATAATAAACCATGACGACGAAATCTCAAGGCTTAATGAATGTTGTTGGAGCGGCATCTGAAGCATTCAGTCACAAATTCCATGTCGCTGTGGATTGACGTACATACTAGCTGTAGTTCATGTACGTATCTACCTGGGGGGCCGAGCATCGTGCATGTACGTAACATATGCACATATGTATCTACATATGTACCTAGGCATACCGTACGTACGTGTGTAGGTGTCTCGCTATGTGCGTTTTTGCATATGTCTGCGTGCATGCATCGATGCATGTATGTACGTACGTAGGAAGCATACATGTGAGTCTTTTTTGTCCGTCCGTCCATCTGTCCGTCCGGTCTTTCTGTGTGTCCAGCTGTCTGGCTGTCTGGGCTGTCTGTCGGTATGTATCTCGCCGCAATCTTGCTCACTGTGCATGCTACACATCCGACAACTGCTGAACCAGAAGAAGCATATACGCATGTATGTGCATGCAGGTACTCTTAGATTGTGTCCGTCTACGTATGTCACTTCACTGACTATTCCTTCTTGTTGCTCACTATTGTCGACCTGTTCAGGATTTCGCAGCTTTGTGTTGCACATGCAAAGCATAAGTAAAGCTTGCAAGCGCGTGTGTATAGAGAGAGAGAGAGACATGTTCATGCGTTACATGTACATGTTGGCAAACATTGTATTTAGAAAAATGCATGCACGCACACGTGCATACATGCATGCTGCAATGTATGCTGTAGCTCCCAGTCGGCCCATGCCAATCAGATGCTCATGACCATCCAGCGTTCGATGGCGAGATCGAGAAAAAAACTGGCTACACCGTCGGCTTCTGAGCGTTTCCTTGTTGACGTTGATCCCGCACTTCAGCCCCTGATCCTAGAGATGGATGGGATTGCCCCGGGCTTGCCAAAATGAGCACTCAGGTCAAGGGCATCCTGTCTTTGCCAGTGAAGAGCAGCTGGGCCAAAGACTCCCGAGCATGTCCGAGAATGCTTGTACACCGGCAGGAAGTAGTTACACAGTTGGGCTACGCGCAATGTTTTGTTCCAATGATTTCCTTGGCTGCTTGTGTCACAGCTTGGACAAGAGGAAATTATAAGCAAAGATGTCAGCACTGTAGCCTCCACTCGGGGTTGCAGCATCAGCATAACCAAGTGGACATTCTTCAAAGGCGTTTGCTGTGACGGCATGTTCAGCCCAACTGCTGGACTGGTTTCAGTGCCGCGAGGTGTGCTAAATTTGGATAAAGCCATCGGCGTCATCCAGGTCTCGTCCTTAATCCGGCTGACCGACCTTGAATTCCTCCAATCCAACAGAAGACAGAAGTGTCAGTACATTCTGACGAAGCCAGCAGGGCTGGGCCTGGTTGGTAGCTTGAGCATGTCGAAGTTGACTCCACAAGACCACCAAGCGATTCACCCCTCTGGGGTTCTAAGAGCTTCTCCAGGAGCTTCGGAGTTTCAGGACAACGCAGACTTGCGCAGAATTGCAACTGCTTGCAGGTGTTGAACAAGCGCAGCTCGCCCAAAGGAGAGCCACTTGGCTTGCGCCGTGCACCTGCAGGGTTGCTGTTGTGTGGCTGCTGAAAGATGGGTTCGGGAAAGACTCCAGCGGCTCGCGGGTATCACGCCCGAGGTTCTCAGAACAAGACGCAGTGGAACTGCAGAAGCTGGCGAGCCTGACTTGCATTGCTGAGATGTTCATCCTTGCATCGGTTCATCAGCTGTCTCCTCTTTGTGCTTTGAACCAGACCTGCTGTCGCCATTAGAAGAGTTTCAGAGCGAAGGGAGCACTTGCCACAGATCCGTTCTAGATTCTAGATAACCACAAATCTGTATAATTCTGCACGCAGTTTGCCAAACATGCGCACAATATAGGATTTATTCCTGCAGTGAATCCGTCAGCCTTGTCCCCGAGGATGGTTATCGGCGACTCCTTCTACCGCCAGCGGTACAAAGCTCTTGAGGAAGTCACAGCAGCTAGGCAGCAGTCGCAAGCTCACAGGAGCCCGATCTTTATAGGTTTGTGTTCAAGCACAGAGGACGCGATGTCACTTCACAGAAGGAGGCCGCTGCAGGACAAACTCTCCCTCAGCTGTTGATGTAATTCAGGGCCACTTTGACTCGGAAGTGCAAGCCGTTCTGGACCAGCACCGTGAGAGGACTGCAAAGCTGTGCATGCTTTGGGTGTTGACGGAGGACGTGCCTGCGCCTGTTTCAACATGATTTTGCATCTTGACCTGGAGCCTTCGTAGACCTTGAAGGCTTCGGACTATGGAATTCCGTTTGATATGAACTAACTAAGTGCGGAGCATGTCCTTGCAGCAGCCAGGATGTATTTGAGCCGGCAGCAGTCTCCGGCAATGAGCCTTGCCTCGATCACAGAAAAGCTAGCCGCGTGGATCTTGCTAATGCAGGCCATGCATACTAGAAATGAGTCGACGAGTTTATGCCAGAATCGCCGCTTCCTGGCACTACCCACTGTGGAGATGTAGCGTGCTGCCGTCACCTAGGAGCACTCCACCGGAAATTCTGCGGTCTTTAAGCCGTCAGCCCTTCCTGCGCGAACACTCGCCATTGACCCTCGGATGATCAAGACATTTGGGAATGGGTGTGGTTCATGATGGTGACCACAGTCAATGCTTGCGCAAGTGCACGCTTAGAAGTCTTGCACTCGTGATAACTATGGCGCGGCCTGTACCTGCCAGTGTTGAGGCAAGTGGAAGATCTGGCTTCCCTTAACTTTGACGTGCTCGATCAGGCGCTGGTGCGAGAAGCAGACGTAGAAGCATTGCAAGATCGAAGCTGTGAGGCAGAGATGTTTCTCCAAGAGTTGGTTCTCGCCTCGGATGTGAACATGGCTTCATCCAGCCTTCTTGGTGGCTTCGTCCAGCCTACCCCAATTGAAACCTGGCAATCTCGATGATGATCGTCGGATCGTTGACCGATCCTGAAAACGCGGATCCCAATGTCAAGCTTGTCTCAGGTTCCTGATATCCTCAGACATGCTGGCTGCCGCCCGACTTAGCATGTGGCCGCAACGACAAAGCTGAGCTGTGTGCGTATTGAGAGATGTTGGATATCAGAGCGGGTATTCCA